GGGTTGGACGATTCTTTGTTGAGGGGGAGATACTCTGTATAGTTCACTGCTTCACTTCAGTGGCTCACTGGTAGAATCCCACCTGCCACGCTGGAGACCCAGGTTTGATTCTGGCTAACGCACCCTAGGCACAGCCACCACTTGCCTGTCAGGGGAGGTTGCCTGTTGCTGGCAATCTGCTTTTGAAAATAAGCCAATGAAAACTATGATCCAAACTACATGGTGCAGAACCAGGCAGCCTTTTATTCCATCGTGCACGGGGTCACCATGAGTCGGGGAAGTCTCAAAGGCAGAAGCGACAGCAACATCATAGGTCTCTCCTCACTAGATGCCAGAAACACCCCCTCCCCAAGTGTGAGAAGCAAACGTGCCTCCCAGTAGAGCCCAATGCCTCTTGGGAGAACCACTGCTTTCCCCCCTTCCTTCCTGTGCCCCACTCAGAGAAGCTCGGAGTGCTGCCCAAACCACGGTGAACCTAGAAACCCCAGCCCTGCCCGGAGATGTCTGTGCCACTGGAGGGGAGGAGCAGAGAGTGGAAAGCTTGACCTTGGGGAGGGGAAGGTGACTTAATCGATGGGAAACCACTCTAGGAGCAAAGTGCCTGGATTCAGGGCCCAGAAACTTTAGGGAGTTTAATGGAACAAAAAGCCTCATGGATCTTCTTGGGTCTCGAGTTCAAGAAAACCACTCTCCTTACTTTGGTCTGCTGTACCATTCACTCAAAAGAAAAGTGCTCTATAGGATTTTCCTGGAAATAGATCACCAGGCCTTTTTTCCTAGGCACCTCTGGGTAGCCTGGCCTCCCAACCTTCCAGTTAGCAGCTGAGCATGTTAACTACAAATTCCCTCCAAGCAAATGGGTCCTTAATTACATCAGTGGAATTGGTGACAGAAAGGAAAACTGATGCCAGGGGCTTAAGTGGAGAGCAAATGTTTTGAGAATGAATGTACAAATGTGCTTTCCACAATTGATGAATGTATGGATTGTGATAAGAGTTGTATGAGCCCCTAATAAAATGTTAAAAAAGAAAACAAAAGAAAAATGGCCCAGGAGAATGTTGCGTGGTGGGAGGCTGGCAGGGCTGGTTTAAAACCTGATGCAGTAGAGGGCAGTGATGATCCCGTGCCCTGGCCCAGCAGACACAGGTTTCATTCGGGCCACTGCACTTCAGAGCTCAGCCACCACTTGTCTGTCCCTGGAGGCTTGTGTGTGGCTATGAAGCTGTGCAGGTTTCAGATTTTAACAGACTAGGAAGAAAGGCCTGGCAATCTACTTCTGAGACTCGGCCAATGAAAACTCTCTGCATCACAAAGGTCCAGAGGGCAGTCAACAGCAGGAGATCATGAACCAATAAAAAGGCTCTTCACACAGTCACTAATATCTATCGTACGCTCAAGGCAGACCTAGTCTCAGGGCAAACACAGCGGCCCTTAGCCTCCTGAGCTCACAGTCCAGTGGCATGGGACAGAAAACAAAACCACAGGATCAGTTCAGATCCTGATCCATGCTACCCAAGACTTGAGATGGGGCACGGGCGGCACATTGTAGAAAACCACTTTAAACAGGGTGGCCACGGCCGACCTTTCAGAAAAAGTGACCCTTCGGCTGAGATTCAAAGGATGAGAAAGAGATGACCGTGGGGACGTCAGAGGAAGTACTGCTCTGGACAGAGGGAAGGGCAGATGCAAAGGGCCTGCAGTGGGAGGCACCAGGCTCACTGGAGGAAAGCAGAGGTTTCCAGTGAGGCTGGCCCGGTCTGAGTAGTGAAGAGGTTGGTGGGCTGGTGGGTAGGTCCCAGGGCAGGCGGGGCCATGGCCTATAGGTTATATACAGGAAAATGATCGCAAACACAGCTCAAGACCCAGCCAGCACCGCTGGTTTGGGTTGAGGTTGGAGACCTGTGACCGGCATCTTTAAGCCCAGGCCCGTCCCGGCTGGCCTGATTCTCCTGGGAGGCCCAGGTATGTGAGGATGCCTGACAGGCCCTCCCATGCCGGGAAGCAGGTGGGAATTGGTGTTGCCAGAGGGATGATTAAGAACAGGAGGAAAATGAAGAGATTCCCCAAGTCCCCAGACAAGATCGGCTCCCCCAGCCTCACACGTCAGGGGCCATCAAACAAACCCAAATACCAACAGCCCTGCCACTATCATCGTGGCATTATTAAAAAGAAGCCCCCCTCTCCCCGCTTCCAGGGATGGTGTGGGGGCCCAGGGAGGAGCATCTGTGCTGTGAGCCATTAGGGGTCTCTGACAGATGCGTTCTGACCACCCTCCCAGCCCAGCTGCAAATGAAGGCCCGTCCTTTTCTTCTTCCCAGACAAGGATTGATGAGCATTTGGGAGAGCACTCAGACAGGCAAGAAAAGGCTGTGGACCTTTTCCAAGCCTGCAATTTATCTTGAAGAGACTATTCACATCACTTTTACAGGCGGGATTACGCTCTGACCTGGCACATTAATCTCGCCGAATAAAATAATAATAATCAAAAAGAGGGAGCTGGACAGTTGCCAGGGAGGCATTAATAACTGTCGCCCACACCTCAGTGGGATAAGGAAAGGGTACGGGTGCCCTCCCCGCCCCCTTGCCCCCAGCAACGCCTGCAGTACGGAGAAGGGAGGACGTTCGACCCTGGCTCTGAGGGAATTCTGTGTAGACGGTGTGTGGGGACTCATCTCCCAAATCAACCTGGAGACACTTTCTAAGCAAATACTAGGAGTGAGTATGTCTCGTAGCCAAGAGCAGTGGTTCTGGAGTTGGACTGGGTGAGTTCAAATCCTGGCTCTGTAATTTATAAGCTGTGTGGCCGTGGGCTGGTTCCTTAACCTCTCACTGCTTTTGTTTTCTCCTCTAGTAAACAGCAATGAAAACAGTACCTGCCTGACCTTTCGACAGGAGCTGTTGTGGAAAGCAGTCTGGCTTGGTGTTAAAAGGTAGAACACAAGATTACCAGGTGGCCCAGCAATTCCACTCCTGGGAACAGACCCAGAAGAACTGAAGACAGGAGTTCAAAGATGTTTCTAGTTACACTCTTCGCAATAGGTGAAAGATAAAAAACCAAAAACCAAATGTCCATCAACAGGTGGATGGTAAACAAGATGAGATTTTGCCACACGGTGGAATGTTTGTCAGGAATGAAAAAGGAATGAGGCGCCCATCCATGCTACAATGTGGATGAACCTCGAAAACTTGACGGCAGACACAAAAGGTCTTCTATTGGATGAGCTCATGTATAGGAAACGGTCAAGACAGGGAACTCCACAGAGGCAGGACAAAGACTAGCAGTTGCCGGGGGATGGGAAGAAGGGAAGGAAGCGGGGATGACTGCTTAATGGGCATGGGGTTTCCTTCGAGGGCGTGAAAATGCTCTGGGAAGTAGACAGAGGTGGTGGACGTACAACATTGTGAATGAACCAACACCACTGAATTGTTTGTTTTAACATGGTGAATGGTTTACAGACAGGTTAATTGTATGTTACATGCATTTGTCGATTAAAAACAGGAAAACAAACAAAAAGGAGTAGGAATTGATAAAGACATGAGAAGGGGGAAGGGTGTCTGAAACAGAAGGACAGGAGGGTGACAGAGGTGCACACAAGAGCACTTTGGCGACAGTGTGACTTTGGGCCAGTTACTCCATGTCGTGGTGCCTTGGCTGTCCCCTCTGGAGAACAGGCTAAGGAGATCTACGTCACAGGTCGGCTATCCGAAGGGGATGGTTTAGTGTGTGTCGGGGGACTCTGAGTCAGAATGGGCTGGATGGGACACAGCCACCACCATCACCTGTGTAAAGGAATGAAAGTGTTGGGGTGTGGCTGAACCCAGAGCACAGAGTGAGGGGCAGGGGAGGGAGAAGGGGCACGGTTGGTGAAAGGCAGCACACGAGTGGTGACTGATAAAGGGAGCCCCCTCAGGGGCCTTGGTATCTTCGTAAGGTAAGGAAGACACTGTTAGCACGGCAACTTTCTGCAGGAGAAACCTGGGAAGCAAAGTGACTGGTATAAGGCCTAGTGGCTGGAGAGTGTCAGGGCTAGGGAGGGTCCAGGTGCTCCCACATCTGGTCCATTCAGTGTCTGGCAGTGATCCCCTGGCCCTCAGAGGTAACCATGGTCCTGGGACTTGGAAGAGTTGTATTCTTATCCTTAGTCCTGCATGAACCAACCAGCTGGGTATTTGGGGGACAAATTGCCTCGCCCTTCTATGAGTTTTGGTGTAGCAGGCTACCCCAAATCTGAGGTCCCAATGTCAAAAAACCTGTGTTACCTCGTAAAGACCAAGGGCCTTCGAAGCTGTGGTTGGATAAAGGCTCCTGCCATGGGAAGAGGACCATGACTTCTCTGGGAGGCCTGACTGCAGTCACCGGCTCTCTGAGAGAGAGGCCGGGGGAGAATCCAAACACGCAAGAGAAGACCCTGTGAGGACACAAGCAGCTACCACCCGTCTGTAGAAGCCTGTGCGCTGCTGTGACGCTGGACAGGTTTCAGTGGCGCTTCTACAGTAAGACAGATTAGGAGGAAAGGCCTGGCCATCTACTTCTGGAAGTCAGGCAATGCAAGCCCTATGGATCACAACAGTCTACTCCGCAGCCAATCAAGAGGATGGGGCAGGACTGGGCAGCAGTTAGTTCCATGTTGCATGGGGGTCACCTTGAGCCAAGAGCCAATGCCACGGCAGCTAACACAACAGCAGCAGCAGATGCGATCCACTGGGTCTCAAATAACCCCCTCCAGACTCTGTGAAGTCAGGCTGATTCTGACTCACCGTGGCTGTATCAGATGGAGTAGAACTGTCCCATGGTAGAAATCCTCATCTTTCTCCCAAAGAGCAGCTGGTGGCTTCAAACTACTGACCTTGTGGTTCGCAGCCCACCAGGCTCAGACACTAGTTACTGTGGACACTGACATCAACGGGGCCTGCTCCCTTCTTTCCTCTTCCAGAAGGCACCTGGAGTGGCTGCCTCATCAGCAGGGCTGGGCGGCCTGGGGGCCACAGTCAGAGCCTACCTTGGACTTGACGGCCAGGATGATCTTGGGCAGGGCCACCACAAGACACTTGAGGGCGATGGTTATATACTTCAGTACGAAGTCTGCGATCCCCACGATCCACAGCAGGTCGAAGAAGTCCAGCGTCTCCAGGTTGGGCTTCAGGAATATGAGGCTGTGGGGGAGGACTCAGAGTTAGGACACGTACTCAGGACCCGGCGCTCAACCGCTTGCTCATCTCTGCCTCTGGCAGTCATATGATCCTATTGATCAGGGACACCGACTTCTGCGTCCTGCTACTCAACTGCTGCATGACCTCTCTGAGCTTCACGTCTCCTGCAGGTTACCTGGAGAGGTGGGCCTGGAGCATTGCCAATGTCTCTCTACTTCACTGTGTCCTCAACAAGAGCAGGTGGTGGAGAGGCGTGAAAAGGACGTGCCCGTTACCCTGCTGGTGTTTCACTCCCTGTATCTCATCAAATCCTGCACAGTGAGCACCGCTGTGATTGCCACTGTAGAAAGGAGCCACTGACTAGAATGCGGACTGCGGGGAGAGTACACACACATCTGGATGGGAGGAAGTACAGCCAGACTGCTCCTTAGGAACGAGGATGGTGAGACTTCGTCTCAGTGTACGTTGGACATGGTCTCAGGAGGGACCAGTCCCTGGAAAAGGCCATCATGTTGGTCATGGAGAGGGCCGGTGAGAAGGATGAGGACCCTCCATGAGATGGATGGACACAGTGGCTTAAACAGAACAACTGCGTGGATGGCCCAGGCCCAGGCAGTGTTTCGTTCTGTTGTGCAAGGATCTCTATGGGTCAACCCTGACTCGGCGGCACCTCACAACAACCAAACCTGAGGTCTTCAATCCACAAAAGGGAGGGGGCAGGACAAAGACAGCATTGTGTTCCATTGTGCAAAGGTCCCTATGATCGAGGGCACCACCTCCATGGCCACTAGCACCAACCACAAGGCTCAGCCATATCAAGGTCACACTATACAATAAGCCTAAGGATCTTAGTGCCGGGGAGTCATGAATTTGAATCTAGGTTTCTCCGTTTATGTGTGGTCTGGCCTTGGGTGGGCAATGTCATCTTTGAAAGTCTCAGTGTTCTCTTCAGTAAAATGGCAATCACCCCTTCTCCTGCTCCTGGCCCCCTCGTGGTATGGTTGGCAAGATTTGGTGAAATGGTAGCCATACCATCAACCGACCAACTCGCTGCCCTCAGGTCGATGCTGAGTCATAGCAGCTCTGCAGGACAGAGCGGAACTGGCCCTCTGCATTCTGAAACTGTAATTGTCTACAGGAGGAGGAGAAAGCGGTCTTTCTCTCTTGGAGCAGCGGTGGTTTCGAACAACTGACCTTGTGATTAGCAGCCCAATGTGTAAACACTACGCTACCAGGGCTCCTGGACACACCACAGGTCCTGCCAAAGAGCAATGGTCAGGACAACAGCAACTCTGCAAGCCGGGCACATCATCCAAGCCGTTTGGCGGATGAGAACATCGACACACAGAAAGGCACAATGTCATGCACAAGGACACACAGAAACTGAAGGACAGTGGTAGATTCATACTCAGGCCTCTTGGCTGTCGCTTAAATACGTCTGCACCCTATGCCATGCCAACCTGGCTTCATGCACTTTATTATCTACCTAAACCCATTTCATTTTTCCGGAGACTTTATGAAGGAATGCCTATGAGCAGAGGAAAGGCAGGCACCAAGGGGCAGAGTGATGTGCCCATGCTGGAGCCAGCAGTCAATCTGTCTGTGTCTGCACCAGAGTGGGTGCTTTCAGGATGCTATGAGGCCCCCTTCCTGCAGTCTCCCAGAAACGCATGGCCTGCAGAGGTGGCTCAGTGGTAGGACTCCTGCCTTCCACTCGGGAGACTTGGGTTTGGTTCCTGGTCAGTGCACCTCATGGGCAACCACCACCCATCATCAGGGAGGCTCATGAGTTGTTCTGATGCTGAACAGGACTCCGTGGGGCTTCAAGACTAAGACAGACTAGGAAGAAAGGCCTGGTAATTTACTTCTGAACAACCAGCCAAACGGAAGTCTATGGAGTACAATAAATATAGTCCAATGCCCACACCAAATGGTCAGGAGGGTGCGGGGCTGGGCAGCATGCCCTCTGTTGTGCACGGAGTCACCAGGGTCAGACTCAGCAACAGCTCACTATAACAACAGGAATGAGTTGGCCTGTTTTCACTGTTTAAAAAGCAAAGAAACAAAACTATTTATATTAGAAAAAAAAAAGACACAAAGCAATATATTTCTATTTATAGTAAAAACCTTTCAAAGGCTAGAGTGGGGCAAAATCAATGAAAAGCCATCTCCGCTGGCAGGTGATCGCTCATGCGATCCCCAGTGTCCTCACCACCTTGCAGGCTCTGTCTCTGGGGGATACCTCCCCTTCAAGTTTGAATGGCCAGTCACAAACGGTTGGTAGGGTCTGGCAGGCTCTATCTGTCTCCAAAGAGGGAACACGGTATCCAAGGGGACTTCTGGCACTTTCCTGATGAGTCTTAGCTCAGGGAAGGCCAGAACTTGAATCTATCCAGGATTCAGACACCAGTGCCCAACACTGGAGAGTCTTAATTCTTCCCCTATCAGCTTCTGACCTCTGGAAAATCATTTCACCTCTTAAAACCTTCTCTTCATCTCAAAAGATTTCTTTAAAGCAGTGGTTCTCAACCTTCTTAATGCCTCGACCCTTTCATACAGTTCCTCATGTTGTGACCCCCCCGACCATAAATTTATTTTCATTGCTAATTCATAACTGTAATTTTGCTACTGCTAGGAATCGGGTGACCCCCACCCCCCGTGAAAGGGTTTTTCGACCCCCAAAGGGGTCACGACCCACAGGTTGAGAACCGCTGCTTTAAAATGTCAAAAAGCAAAGACGTGACTCTGAGGTGCACCTGACCCAAGGCCATGGTATTGTCAACTGCCTTCTGTGCATGTGAAAGTTGGACACCAAATCAGGAAAACCAGAATCGATGCCTGCTGATTATGGGGCAGGTGACGGATACTGAAAGTACTCTGGCCTGCCCAAATAAATCTGTGTTGGAAGAAGTACAGCCAGAACACTCCTTAGAAGTGAGGCTGGGGAGACCGTCACCTCCTTCAGTTCCTAGAGCACGAACATGTTCTCCAGAGGACCGGTCCCCGGAGAAGACCATCAAGCTTGGTAACTAGAGGAGCGATGGAGAAGAGGCAGGCCCTCCATGGGACTGAGGGACACAGTGGCTGAAACAAGGGGCTCAAACATAGGAACGGGGTGGAGGTGGTGCCGGGCAGTGTCCACACAGGGCCAAGACGAGTCTCCAAGGTGTCTGACAAAAAGAAGCCTTCCTGACTTTCCCTCCTTGTAAGACGGAGAGAAAGCGAATTCTTTGCCTTATCCAACTCAACAGGCTAATTAGTAGACTCAAATGTCAGAACACCGATGGAAGTATCTGACAAAGTACGAAATGTTTAACAAGCCCTAATTGCATCATAATTACCATTATTGTTTATTAATTATAATAGTTTGTGGTGGTGGTACCTAATGAGGAGTAAAACTGATAAGAAGATACGTGTCAGTCCATAGAACTGACGGTATAGTAAAGTCCCGGTGGTGTAGTGGTTTGGGAGTTTCTCTGCTAACTGAAAGGTCCGAGGCTGGAACCTACCAGCAGCTCTGAAGGAGATGTACAGATGAGTCTTGGACCCCCAACGAGATAGTGCTACTCTGTCCTATGGGGTCCCCTTGAGTATAATCGACTTGATGGCAACATAAAAAAACCAAACCTGCTACGCTACAGTTATATCATTAAGTAAGTTATCATAGCTCTCTGATAATGCCACTAGGATTGAGTCTCCTTTTGAGATGTGTCAAGTCTTTTAGTTCACAGCGCATTAAGTTAAATTTCTAGTACTTTAGAAAGAAATCCAAGGGAGTGTCAATATGTGGAAAAACACCCCTGCATCCCAACAAAAAACCAACAAGTCCACAAAACACAATGAACAGAAATAGTCTAAAAATGAGAAATGTAAAACAAGACAACCTAGATAAGTACCCATAACCACCCCTTCTCTCCTTCCCAGTGTGTCTGTGATGAAAAAGGTGGCGTGTAAGCCAGATGTCTGTCTCTCTGGGATTACAGGGACAGCAGCGAGGGTTGGCTGTGGACCTCAACCACCCACCTGGGGGCTGTCCAGCAGGCAGAACATGCACAGCCCAATGCAGGGAGCCAGTGCCACCGGGCCCTCCCTGTGTTACAAAGGCAGCTCACCACCGGAGAAAGAGCCAGTGGTGCAAGAGTTAAGCATTCAGCTGCTCACTGGTGGTTTGGACCTACCCAGCAGCTTCCTGGGAGAAAGACCAAGTGATCTGGCCCTGAAGAGACTACAGCCTAAGAAATTCTATGGGGCAGAAATCAACTAGACAGCCCCTAACAATATCAAGAAGTGGGTGTATGGCCCGGATCCAGAAGTGGAAGTAGGCAGCCCTAGAGGTAAGCCCCTTAGCCAGTGGTATGTGGCGCAGTCAGGATACGGCTCAAAGAGAGGGTTTGGGATTGAGAAAAAAAAATCTCTATCCATATCTACCTATCTTTCTATTGATCTACACAAACTTGAGAACTGTCCTGGTCAGGTGCGCATAGTTGATAGATGGTATTTTTTATACTTCTATTAACTGGTATCAGTTGGCAGTGAGTGTGGTTTGGCTTTGGTATGCACTAGTGGATTCCTGAGGCTCAGCTAACTGGTCACTCCACAGCTCCCTTTACCTGTTCTTTCCCAGAGGAACCCTGGTGGCACAGCAGTTGAAATGCTTGACTGCCAATTCCAAAGTGGGTGGTTCAAACCCAACCAGCAACTTGGAGGGACAAAGACATTGTTCCTGGACAGTTCCTGGAAGACCCAGGGGGGCAGTTTGACTGTCACATCGTGTGTCTGACTCAGAATTCACTCAACAGCTACCCACCCACCATCGGGGAGTTGATTCCAACTCACAGATTCAATGGCACCCAACAAAAACAACACCACCACATTCCCGGTTTGGTTTTTCGGTCACTTGGGACTGTGGAGTGAGCCGTTCTGGCCAATGGGATGTGAGGGACCAGACAGTCACCACTTCCAGGAAGTGATGCTCCTCGAGTAGCCCTGGTGGGAACCCCTGC